GATCCAGTTCCATTTAGAAAAGGCATGCGCGCACACACACAGACACACGCACAGACACCCCCCACACACACACAGACACCCCCCACACACACACACACAGAGAGTAGGTGGACAGCTTTTGAAATCTCTTTAAGGCTCTGGCCAGCAGAGAAGCCAGTTTCTGATTCCCTAGGAGTGGGAGCTGTGGGTGGTTTGGCCCAGAGAGGGACTTGCTGGCGGAGGAGGCGCCTTCAGGTCTTGAGATTTATCTCCAGACTCTGAGTCCTCAAAAAATAAGAACCTACCCAGGAGAAAAACTATTTCAGGAACTCCCCTTACCCATGGTTTGGGGTTCAGCAGTCTCTGCTTGGGGTGTGTGTGTGTGTATGTGTGTGTTCCAGGGATCCAATGTCCTTTTCTGACCTCTGAGGGCAGTTGGTACACACATGGTGCAACAACACACATTCAAACAAAACACTCATACATCTAAAACAAGATTTAAAATATATATAAAAAAAGTAATTGTTATTATGGGGGGGGGTTCCAGATGGGATTTCTCTGTGTATCCCTGGCTGGCCTGGAACTCACTCTGTAGGCCAGGCTGGCCTCAAACTTAGAGCGATCCGCCTGCCTCTGCCTCCTGATTGCTGGGATTAAAGGAGCGTGCCACCACTGCCTGACAAATTGTTATTTGTTTTTAGGGTGTATGTGCACGCATGTGTGTGGCACCATGTCACACAAGTGGAGGTCAGAGGACAACTTGTGGGAGTTGATTCTCTCCTCCCACCATGTGGGCCCCAGGGATCCAACTGAGGTTGATAGGCTTGGTGGCAATCACCTTCACCCACGGAGCCCTGGTGCTGGCCCACTTCTGCAGTCTTTGTTACCCACTGTCAACCAAAGGGTGAGACTCCTGGGGTACGGTACTCATGCCTGTAACTTCTGTGGGGGCTGGAAAGATAGTTCAGCAGTTACACACGCTGACTATTCTTCCAGAGGACCCAGGTTCAATCCTCAGTACACATGTGGCAGTCTGACCCCTTGCACACACATGGCCTATGGACATACATCATACACACACACACACAATCAATCAAATTTAAGAAAATCATTTCTAGGGCTGGAGAGACAGCTCGGTGGTTAAGAGCATTTGATGCTCTTGCAGAGAACCCAGGTTCTGTTCCCAGCACCCACCTGGCGGCTCACAACCCTCTGTAGCTCCAGTTCCAGGGGATCTGACAACCTCTTCTGGCTTCTGTGGCACACATGCGCAGTATTTGGTATAGTGTATGTGGCGCTGCATGTCTGCAATCCCAACCGACGTTCAGGAAGCAGAAGTGAAGGACCAAGAGCTCAAGGCCTCTGGGTGGCGGTGACGCACACCTTTAACCCAGCACTCCGGAGGCAGAGGCAGGCAGAGCTGTGAGTTCAAGGCCAGCCTGGTCTACAGAGCGAGTTCCAGGCTAGTCAGGGCTACACAGAGAAACCCTGTCTCAAAAGCAAAAGGGATCAAGGCCATATTTGGCTACTCAGTGAGTTCAAGACACCCCAAAGCTATATGAAACCCTGTCCCAACACAATAGACCTGGCAGTTGACTGGGTGGGGTGAGTTCGGCACTGGCATGAGCATACATATGAAATAAATTAGTGTATTAATAATAAATGATTTTAGCATGTATCGTTCTAACAAGTGCTAGCAATCTAACCCACGACCGCATCTAAACTACGCAAGTGCTTTATCACTGGGCAACATCTCTAGCCTTCAAGGACATTTTTCCATACAAACGTAATGCCAGTACCGTGCGCTCACACACACACACACACACACACACACACACACACACACACACACACACAGCCCTGAAGCCACACTTACAAATGCCTCAGAGTTGGAGATTTAGCTGGACAGTACCGTGCTTGCTTAGCGGCCCCCAAGCCTTGGGTTTCACTCCAAGAACCATGTACTCAAAAGTCCCTCCTCCGACCCAGCACTTAAGAGCACTCAAGTTCTTGCAGAGGAGCTGGTTTGTGTTCCTAGCACCACACAGCAGCTCACAGCCTTCTGTAACTCCAGCTCCAGGGGGACCAGAGTCCTCTTCCAGTCTTTGCGTGTGCACATGTCCAGCACATGCATGCATGCATGCATGCAAATAAATATTCATGCATATAAAATAGAAATAATCGGACCCTCTTTTAAAAGCCCCTTCTGCATGCTTCCTGTTGTTGTTTTGAGAGTGTCTTGGTATGCTGCCCCAACTGGCCTCTGACCCTGGACTCAAGCGAGACTCCTATCTCAAGTCCCCCAAGTACACAGTATACCAGATTTTGTTTTTCAGTAGGACTAGAACCCACGTGCCAGGAGGTCTGACTGGCACAGACGAAGCGTCTAACCCCAGAGACACTGGAACAATCCTTGTGCCATGGCCTCTCCAGGACTCTTCTTGCGCAGCATCCTTGCTGGGATGCTGGGTGTCCTAAAACCCCAGGGTACACACAGCATCAAGAAAGCTCTGCGCCCCCGGCTTTGCGAAGGAACAACTTTTGTCCCGAAGCTGTTGCCTCCCAGTTCTCTGAGGGAACTAGGTGTGCCCACCATGTTTCCTGCACTGTTCGCTCCAAGTAATCCCCACGAGAGAGATGAAAACACATTCTAATAATGAGTCTGTGTCTCCGAGTCGCTGCCTGGGCTTTAATGGCTGGGGAGCGGGGAGGACCTCGGGTCAGCTGGCCTCACCCGGGCTCCCTGAGTGCCCCCCACTCAGGCTTCTGTCTCCTCTTACCATTGGGACCCTGGCCTTGAGAGCAGCCAGCCTGTGGGGGGGGGGGATGCTGCCCAAGTGATGTCCAGTAGCAGCTGAAGGCTGCCGCCCTGGGCCCAGATCCTTTTCAGTAATCAGCTTTGTGAGTCAGAGCCTGCAGCTGCCACAGACTGCCCAGGCCTTGCTGGGAAAGGAGCAGACAGGATTAGGAGGGAAGCAGTTAATGGAAAATGAAGAGGGGGTGAGGTGGGGAGAGTGAGTTAAGCCTCTCAGGGACAGGGTTGCCTTTCTCCTAGGGACCATGAAGGGGGCCTCCGTGGATACCGAGTTATCTTCCCTGGGGGCGTATCCCTACCCCTGACTCCAGCAGTTCGAGCAGAAGAAAGGGCTGGAAACACTTGGAAATGCCTGAGGCTGAGTCCATTTCGAGACAACTTCAAAGAACTACTTCTAGCATGGAAGTGTGGAAGGGGCCGAGCCGTGTCTCTCAGACCCTCACCTGGGACTCTGCCCCCTGGACATTCCAGGCAGGAGTACAGGGCGCTGGTGGGCTTCCACACTCACAGGACTCACAGGTGATGGGCCTGACCTCCCCATGAGGAAACTACCTTACTGCTGAGTGGATTCCCTCAGGACAGCTCCACTGCTGCCTCAAACTTCCTGCATTGTACTTTGTCCTCCAAAGCCTGGGTGTGGTGATGAGTGCCTGTGATCCTGGGATTTCATCTTGTTGTTTCTTTTGGGATGAGTTGGGGGTAGGGGAGTCATTATGTAGGCCAGCCTGGATTTGAACTCACAGAGATCTTCCTCCTCCGTCTCTCACCAGGCTTTTGGAAGCAGAGACAGGAGGATTTCGAGTTTGGGGTCAACCTTGAGTACACAGTGGGGTCCAGGCCAGGCCAGGCTACATGTCAAGAATCCACCTCACCAACCAAACAAAACCAGAAAAAGTCCAAAATGCTCACTTGGGTTAATTATATGAAGGCATGGCATAACTATAGCTATAGTTATATAGCTATAACTGACCCCATTACAGGATGAGTGTCTCAAAAAAGCCTTCTAGAAAGTTCCTTAAGAAATCTCCTACTCCAAAGGATCTGGATGGGACTGTGCCCCGAGTCTTCCTCGGTCTAGATAGAATCTAGAAAACAGTTTGAAACAGAGCTGCTGGGACCCAGGTCTTGCCGGTCTGAGAGGACCCCAGATCGCACCTGCCATTTACCTCCAGCAGCATTCCATTCTCCCAGGGTTGAACACAATAGCTCTCCTCACAGTCTGCCTGGCTCTAATGACACAATTAGTCACCCACTTGTCAAGCAAAGAGCTGGTAGTAGCGGGTCTGGCAGACTCAGCAAAGAGAAAGGCCTGGGCCCAGTCTCACAGCCGCCTCTTCTGTCCCAAGAGCTTTAGTCCCAGGGAAACCACTCTAGCCATGAAGCAATAAAGGAGGTACCCGCAGATACGCTGACATACATACACCAAGGCAGCAAGCCCAAGGCTTCTGCTGTCCTGGACATCCTGCCTTCAGGAAGAAGGCTCAGGATGAAGAACAAAGTGTTACGATTGACCTGAGACCAGAGTGGATGGCAAGGCCTGGCCTGGCGCTGTGAAAGCCCAGTAAGCCCGGGTAAGTCGGGATCCAACCTACGGTGCGTCAGGGAAAGAGCGGATGAGGGGTCTGGTCAGCTAGCTGATGGCCAGCTCCCGGGAGGTGGGGCGGTGTGTGGGTGTGAGTGGGTGGGGGTAGGGCCTCGTCTTCCACACAAGCCGAGCTCATCTGCAACCCAGGGGTGGGGACTGGGGGTGTCAAAGCCTACAAGCAGCCTGAGAACGACGGTAATGTAGTCCCCATAAGTGCTCTCTTCCTTTTAGTCCGGTCCTCCCAGCCTCACACATTGGATTTCAAATTGACCTAAAAGAACTTCCCTTCTCGCACACCCCATCCCAAAGTACTGTGCTGTCAAGACTAAGCTAACTCCAGTTCAGACCCTGACGTAGGTTGCACGTCCGTGGATTTGGGTACGGGTGAGCAAAGGCGGGAGGAGAGGAGGGTGCAGAGCAGAGTGTCAACAGCAGTGTGAGGCCCGGGGACGCCAGAGCGGGGAGGGAGGGAGGGAGGGAGGGAGGCCAGCTCCACTTTGGGGGAGGATGGAGCGGGGCGGCCGCAGGAACCCTCCTTTCCTGCCGGCCGCTGGCTCGGCCCTTCCTGGGGAGGTTCGGCCGGCAGGCTCGTGGGTGTCCCACGGGGACCCGGGTGCATACCTGCCTCCCCTCGTCCGCAGGCTCCTCCGCCGCGGGCTCCTCCGCCTCCGCCGCGGGCTCGGGCTGGCGCGGCCCCGCGGGTGCGGGCTCCGGGGCGCAGGGCTCGGGAGGCGCAGGCGGCGCGGGAGCCCCGGGGGCCTCGGTCGGGGACGCGCGTTCCGGGGCTGGGACCGGGGCCGGGGCCGGTCCACGCCGCAGCAGTAGCCAGGCGAGCAGCAGTGCCAGCGCCGTGGCCAGCGCCGGCAAGGCGGCCAGCAGATCGGCCGGCGCCTCCATCGCGCCGCGGCCGCCGAGTGCCCGCCCGCCGGGACCCCGAGGGAGCCCGCCGCGCCCCGCCACCAGGCCACGCCCCGGGGCGGAGTCCCGCTCGAGCCACGCCCCCGCGCCCTCCGGGTGACTTGGAGTCGGGACCTTGGGAGACGCTGGAAAGCCCACCCCTGGCTAGCTGATGCTCTGGGGAGCCATTCAGCTCAGGCTCGCTGGATGGGGTGAAGGGCTCTTTGTTTATTGTCTTTAGCCTGGCTTCATTTCAGCCCTGTGCAGAAGTTCGTCCTAGAGATGGTGGTGCAGACCTGTGATCCCAGCACTTAAAAAGTGGAAGGGTACACGAGGATAGGGAGTTCAAGGTCTGCCTCAGTCACAGTGAGTCCAGGGCCATAGAAGATTCCTTCTCAAAACATCCCGCACCACACACAAAAATGCTCATCCTAGAGTACCGGTGATCCGGCGCTACGGAGGAAAGGTGTGGAGGCAATTCATGGAACTGAACACTAATTGCCCCAAAAGGAAAATCAAAGATGAACATGGTGGCTCTCGCCTTTGATCCCAGATCCCAGCACTCCAGAGGCGGAGGCAGACGGTCCTCTGAGAGTTCAAATACAGTCTGGTCTACATAGCAAGTTCCAGGTCAGCCAGGGTTGTATGAGAGCCTGTCTCAAAGAGACAAGGAAAACCTCTCATGCTTACTGGCAGCCATGGCCCACAGCTGTGGCATTCGTGAATGTTTGCCGAAGGCTTCTTTCTCATCCTGGTTTCAACAAGAGGCTGGAATGAGGTGGGAAGAAGGGTGGTTTTGTTTCTCCGTATCTTTTCTAGGGCTCTATTAAAGTGTAAAACACACTGTGACCCAACTGTGTGCCCCCCTACCACACCCACCCATCTTTTAATTACTCTGAATAAATACAAGGCAGACAAAGTTTGTCAGAAAAAAAAATGAGTATTGGAAAACAACCAATCAAACTCACCTGGGCCTGCTAATGCATGCCTGTAATCCCAGTGTTCAGTAAAGAGCTTCAGTTCAAAGCCAGCCCGCACCCAGCTCGAGCTACGCAAGCCCTGTCTCAAAGCAACAGAAGGGAGGTGGACTCCCCAGCCCAGGATAGTAGTGCACACCTATAATCCTAGCTATCTGGTAAATCAGTTAGGTCTCTTGAAGCCAGTTCAAGGCCAACATGAGCGTCTCAGCTCACATACAAAGTGGGGTTCCAACTTCAGACAGATGCTGAACTGGGAAGGAACCCCAAGCATACTAGCTAAGTGTCCCACCAGTAAGATAAGTCCTCCCAGTGTTATTTTACCTGGAAAGAACAATACCAGCACAGCTTTGTGCTCCAGCTGAGAGCCAAGGTCGCCCAGCAAGAGAGAGAGCCCAGAGGTAACAATCCCTGGCTTTAAGGGGCATGTGTCTCTCTTACTGGCAGTTGATAGAAAAAGCTCAACAGCTGGGGGCATTGAGCACAGGCAGGCAGATCTCTGTGAGTTCGAGGCCAGCCTGGTCTCCAAATCAAATTCCAGGACAGATTCCAAAGCTACACAGAGAAACGCTTTCTCAAAAAGCAAACAAAACAAAAAGAGAACAGAAAAAACACTCAGCCTTACTCAGAAGGGTTTGTCTCTAGATTCCTGGCTTTTGACCCTACAGGATGTGCAGCCAAAGTATACGAGCCTTATTTTAATCTAAGACCACACACACACACACACACACACACACACACACACACACACACACCCATCACTCCACCACATCCTGTTTTGGTTTTACTAACAAGGTTTCATTCAATGGCCTAGGCTGGCTTTGAACTCAGTGCTGGGACTAGAGATGTAGGCCACACCTGCTCTCAGCACCAGGTTTGCGTTCCCTAGATTTACTTTTATGAGTATTTTGCTTTCATGTAGGTATGTGTGCCACATGCAACCCTGGTGCCCATGAAGGCCCTAAGAGGATGCTGGATCCCCTGGAACAGGCGTTAATGATGGCTGGGAGCCACCATGTGGGTGCCTAGAACCAAACCCAGGGCCTCTGCAAGAGCAGCAGCTGCTCTTAACCAATGAGCATCTCTCCAGTTCCCAGTCCCATTTATTTTTAGTGTATTTTTAGCTCAATATAATTCTAGCACCCAGGAGACTGAGGCAGGAGGATCCAAAGTTGAAGGCCAGCTGTTTCAAAACAAACAAACCAAAGATAAAACATACAATGTATTCTATTTAATTTTTTTTTTCTGAGACATGGCTGTCCATCTGAACATAAAATGTGTGGGTTTTTTTTTTTGTTTGTTTGTTTGTTTTTGTTTTTCAAAGACAGGGTTTCACTATATAACAGCTCTGGCTGTCCTGGAACTCGATTTGTAGACCAGGCTGGCCTCGAACTCACAGAGATCACCTGCCTCTGCCTTCCAGTGCTGGGATTAGAGGTGTACACCACCACAGCTGGCTCAAATCATTGAAAACCCTTAATCCCAGCACTTGGGAGGCAGAGGCAGGTGGATTTTTGTGAGTCTGAGGCCAGCCTGGTCTACTGAGCAGGTTTCAGGACAGCCAGGCCTATGCAAAGAGACCTTGTGTGAAGAAACACCAGCAAAGTCTGTTGTGCTAACAGAGCGTACCCTGATGACCTTGACCTTAGAGTTGGAAAGAATGAGAAGCCATAACGCACAAGCCCAAATCCACTTGCTTTATTTGTATAAACAAGGCTTATACGAGAGGTAAAAACTCCAGCCGCAGAGTCACAAGCATTTCTTGGTAGAGAGAGCCCACAGTAGGAGGGACATAAACCCCAGATTGTTGAGCACTCTGATAACTAGGGTGCTCAGGGCTGCACAGTTCCTCTGGGGCACCCAGTTACCATGGAGACAGCAGGCTTGGGCATGTTCCTCCTGGGGAGATTTCCTGGGGGACAAGTGGTTCAAGTTCTTGAACTAAATAAGGAGACATGGTTGAGAGCCACAAGGGAGGGACCCCACTTTGGGGATGGAGACAGTGTATACTGAAATCAATGTATCATCTTGACAAGGACATGGGGTTGTTAGGAGCCGGACCCCTGTCTTGAACTCATCACAATACACACATTTCGGTGGGAATGCCACGCACAACTAAGGGATGTACAGCTGTGTCCTACACATCCCTTCTCTTGCCTAAGGCTCAAGGCCTCTACCTGTGTGAAGCGTTGGCACAGCAACTGCCCATCTTTAGCTCCAGCACCTTCAGCTGCTCTCCAGATGTGCACATTCAGACACACCGCTAAGGTGGCTCACGCTGTCCTTCTGTCTGATGCCTGCACTTGCTCAAGCCTCCTGCCTCACTAGCGTCTTGTGAACGGCAGCAGCCGCCACTGCCCACTGAGCTCCACACTGGCAGGGGCCCAGGCCCGTCTCTGATGCACCTGCAGCCACTAGATTTGTTCCAGGCTTGAACAACTAGGAATCTGCAATCACAGCAGATGGGACTGGCCCTTCTGCTACGGTGACTTTCTCCCCTACAACAGGGATGCCAGGCGCGCAGGGCTAGGACCACAGAGGCACCCGTGTGGTGTGGGTTCTACGGCTGATGGTGAGCTACGGTCTGCATACTCGGAGGCTTTTGTTCCGCTCTTTACCAACCCAAGCTCCTTAACAAAGACCAGCTGTGGCTCAGGGAACAGTCCAGTCAAGTGCTGCTGAATCCACTGCGGTTACGATTCTAGCTCATGCCAGGGAGGGAAGCGGTGCGAGGCTCCAGCGCCCAGCCCTGAGCCCTTGGCCACTATTCCACCCTCAGCCCTCTGCCTTCGCTTCCACAGTGAGTATGAGATGTCACCACAGGGGCAGTAAGTAGAGGCAGGAGCAGAGCCTCTGGCCTGGCTAGGATGAGCCACTCACACTTATTGGCACGGTGGCCAGGTGCCCCGTTCTGGTGCTGCTTGGTTACTGGGAGCCACCTCTGGCAGTTGGGGTTGAACTGGGAGAGCCCATTTTTCCATCTGAGATTTCTATACCTCCCAGGCTATTGGCTTAGAGCCTCATCTCGCCCCCTGGTGGCAAAGAGATCTCTACTTTGGTTTCTTATTTTATTTCAGTTTAATCCATTTTGAAATAGAATCTCACTCAGCCCAGGCTGGGCCCAAACTTGCTATGTAGCAGAGGCTGGCCTTGAACTCCTGATCCCCTTACCTAACCTCCATTGCTCTGTGGCCCAGGCTAGTCTTGAATTCTAGAGCTCAACCGATCCTCCCACTTTAGCTTGCCAATGGCTGCTGGTATACCATACTCAGTGGGCTTCTTGTTTTATTAGATTAAAAAACAAAACAAAACAAAGCATTATTTTTCAGACAAGCTCTGCTATGTTCCTTGGAAGACTAGGAGTTCACTATACTCACTATATAGACCAGGCTGGCCTTCAACTCAGAGATCTGTCTACCTCTGCCTCCCAAGGGCTGGGATTAAAGGCGTGTGTGGCACCATGCCTGCTAATTTTTTTTTTAAGACTTGTTTTTGTGTGTTTTGCCTGCACAGGTCAGGATGCCTGGAACTGGAATACAAAGGGTTGTGAGCCACCACGTGGATGCTAGAACCAAACCCAAGGCCTCTGCCAGAGCCACAAGTGCTCTTAACTGCCGAGACACCTCTCCAGCCCCGTGTGTGTGTGTGTGTGTGTGTGTGTGTGTGTGTGTGAGTGTGTGTGTGTGAGTGTGTGTGTGTGTGAGTGTGTGTGAGAAGACAGCCTCAGGGAATCGGTCAGCGCTCTCCTACCATGCTGGTTCTGGGGCTAGAACTCAGGTTGTCTTAGTGGCATCTGTTTTTTTGCTACGCTGTCTCACTGGTCAATTCTTTTTTTTTTTTAACAGTTTGGGACAGGACAGCTATACAGGGCGAGTGAGGCTTTCTGAAGACAGCAGGATGCTTCTCAAGCGGAGAGCGCCTCCTGGGTGTCACTTGGCAGAGACTTTGACGTCCCTTGCCACCCGTGTGCTATACAGGCATCTACGGCTGCTCCCTGTGTCAGTCAGCCTGACTGGGGACTGTCCCTGGATCCAGGGACAGATTAAGGCAAGCAGGTGAGTCTGGTGGCAAGAAAGGAGCTTGCTGGTCAACCCCCAATCCCACCAGAGCTTTTCAGAACCCTGACCACTGCCAGTTGCAGGACAGGACTTCTTCCCTGCATGCATAAGCCACCCATGATGCACATGGGTCAGAAGAACAGGGGACACTGGTCATGGTGTTCTCCGTAGACACAGCATTCCCGTGTCATCCACCACGTGTGGGAACTGACCTATCCGAACCTGGCCTGTTTGCAACTCGAGTTCTGAGACCAAAAAAAAACCAAAACAAAACAAAACAAAAAACCAAAAAAAAAAAAAACAAAACAAAAGAAACCCCCCACCAGGAACACCTCCCCAGAAGCCCAATCATGTCTTCTACTGTCCCCCCAAACTATACCACACTGAGACTCCCCAGTACCCTCTGTGCAGAATGACCCTAATATGGTACCAAGTGGTTGGCGAAGGTGCAGGGCACGAAGCTGGGTCAGTGCCCCGAATGCCACTTTGAACCACAGTGAGGTCCTGAGGACGGCCCACACTCGGGTACTTCCCACAGGTGGGGGCCCCACCTCTCTTGGCTCTGCTTGGATACACAGCTGTGCCTTACCAACAGCAGAAGGTGATAGTAAAACAATGAAACGGCCAGGTCCGTGCGGCTGCAGGGCTGAGTAGCACGCTCCAACATGACAGCACAGAGCCTTCTTACCCACTGCATCAGTGCTAATGTGGTGGAACTGTGCTGGCTGAGCAGCATCTGCCAGAAGACAGGAGCTTGGGCCACAGAGGGAAGACCCACACTCAAATACAGGGGATAGGGTAGGAGCAGAAGACGATCGGAGACCCGTGGCAACCAACAGCTTCCACAGGACCCACCCCAGGAGTCCGTTTGCTCAGGGATGAGCAAGGTGCCCCACAAGGGTCCCCAAGCCGGCCAGGGAAAGCACAGCTGCCTGTAAATGGTGTGTAGGCAGCACATCCAGGCCAAAGCTCAACAGCACATTAAAATACAACTCCACCAGGAATGACAGTACACTCCTTTAGTGCCGGCACTCAGGAGGCAGAGGCAGGCAGATCTTGTGAGTTCAAGGCCAGCCTGGTCTATAAAGCCAGGTCCAGGACATCTAGGGCTGTTACACAGAGAAACTCTGTCTCAAGAAACAATAAAAAACCAGAACCGATAGGGTAGGCATGCTTGGTGGCGCACGATTCTAGCACCTACAAGGTTGAGGCAGGAGGATCCTGACTTCGAAGCCCACAATGACTGTGCAGTCAGATACTGTCAACTGTCCCTGCCGCAAATGGCAAAACCTCAGACCTCAAATTACAGCTGTCACCTCCCAAGCACAGATGGGAGTGCATGAAATGACCACAGGCAGAGGGCAAGCTAAGCCTGGCTGTGCAAATGCCAACCAGGGAGAAAAATGCACACAAGCACCATAGATTCCCACTGTCCGGTCACAACAAGAGGGTGTAGGGCAGAAGAAAGGAGCCCGGACTTTTATTCCCTATTTCATCTCAAGTGCTCAGAGACAAACGAAGTCAAGCACTTCAAATGTCACTAAACTCCCACAGCCCCAACCAGCGCACCTCCCAGGTGCACACACAGGGCCACTTTCACGTGGGTCTGCGCTCTCCACACGGGGGCAGCAGCCAGCAGATTCTCTTTGGTTCTGAAGTTTACTTACTCAGATCCAATTGTTCCCCCACTGCCGCCCCCAGGCAGGCTCTCTCTGTGTAGCCTGGGCAGTCCTAGAACTCAATCTGTAGGCCAGGCTGGCTTTGAACTTGAGCTCTGCCTGCCTCGGTCTCCTGAGAGCTGGGATTAAGGCGTGTGCCACCCACACCTGGCTTACTTCGATCCAGTCTTATTTTTCTGTTTCTTACTCTTTTTAAACGGCTGCTCCAGTACCCGCCACCGCTCCAGCTGCCACCCAACAGGACAGACACTCCACCCCCAGCACACACACCGCAGGGAAGGGGCACAGGGAGGCTCTAGCATGCCCAAGGAAAGCCGTCCAAGACATAAAACTGATTGTTTTTATTAAATAGGAAAAGGGCGCTCTTGGCACCACCGCACACCTTTGCCCTATGATAAGACATGACCATGGAGAGAAGGCCACCGTACCAAACGCTACCAATCCCACTCTGGTGTCCTCGTCCTCCGGTGCCAGCCCTCCCTGGTTCTGCAGGTTCCCATGGGCTGCCGTCCCCAGGCTCGGGCCTTGCCCATGGCTGCGGGCCATCCTCGCACAGGCGCCGCTGCCACGCGTGGTCACCTGGAGGAGCTGCGCTCTTTGCTCACGCAGTCGTCCTGTGAGGTAGTGTCCCCATTCCCCACCGTGCCGCACATCCTCCTCTTCTTCCGGCGGTGTGCTGTGTCACCTTCAGACCCAGATTCACACTGGACACAGGGAGAAAAGGGACAACTCAGGCTGGGGACACGGCTGCACTGGAAAGGTTCTGCACGGAAGCTTCATGACCCCGGGGCTCACGTGGAAGGAGAGAACCAACTCTGTCATTTTCTGTCCTCCACATGCGTGCTATGACAGACACTCACACAGGCACACCCACAACAAATCAATGTACTGTTGCAGGCGGTAGCGGCTGGAGGAACAGCTCAGAGGTCAAGAGCACTTCCGGCTCTTCTAAAGGACAAAATTCACTGTCAGGCATGTATACAGAGAAGCAATGTTCTCTACAGAGGCTTCAAACCAGAGTGTGAAAACAGAAAAGAGCCAGCAGGGTGTGCTGATGCACACCTTTAATCCCGGCACTCGGGAAGGTGGAGCAGGGGGATCTCTGTGGGCTCAAGGCCAGCCCGGTTTATAGAGTGAGATCCAGGGCAACCACAGCCAGAGTGACACTGTCTCAAATACAAAAACAAAACCTAAAAAACCATTAATCTCAGCACTGGGAAGCAGAGGCAAGTGGGTCTGTGAGTGAGGCTAGCTTGGTCTGCATAATGAATTCTAAGACAGCCAAGGCTACTTAGTAGAGAGACCCTGTTTCAAAAACAAAGGTCAGGTGTGGCGTTACACACCTTTAATCCCCACACTTGAGAGGTGGAGGATGCAGGTGGACCAGGACAACCAGGGTTACACAGAGAAGCCCTGTCTCTCCTTTTTTTCTAATTACTGGGTCAGGTGTGTGCCCCCTCACCTTGAGCCAGTGTTAGCTAAAGCAGGTCACTGGGTTTGCATGTGTCTGGGCTCCACCCACAGTGAAATAAATAGTGAAATCCTCTCACAAGGGCTTCGTGGTCAGGAGAAAGACCTGCCCGCCACAGCTGTGTACAAGCTCATAGGCCACTGTCTCTCAAACCTCTCATACCCGAGGCACCTCTGCACAGATGTGGGTGAAGTTACAGGAATGGCTGCACACGAGGGACCTGATTCCACTCCCGCAACCTGAGGGGCCTGGGTGCTGGCAGGCGAGGGAGGAACTCACCTCCGAGTCTGTATCAGAGGAGCTGGAGCTGGAAGAGCTGGAGGAGTCGCTCGAGCTGTCAGAGGCGATGCCTGTAGACTCTTGGAGGTCAACCGCGTCGGCCAAGACTGCCAGCTCAGGGTGCTCCTGCTTCAAGATCCTGAAGGGCAAGAGTCCTGTTTTCAGGGCTGTGACAGACAGCTGGTGGCAACACCCACTCAAAACGGCACAGACTCACAGTGGAGGAGCCCACTGCTCACAGCACCTGGAAACGCCTGTGTATCAGCTGGCCTGGCTCCACGAGATACAACTGGGCTGGGACAGACCACACCGGCTGCCCATATTTGCTGAAGGAAAACTACATTCTAGTGCCCCGTGCCGGCATGAGCACCAGCCACACACCTCTGGAGGTCGAGTTTCCTGGGGGAGAGGGAAGTCCTTAAGAGTCTTCCCTGGAGAGATCCGGCTCCTCTTCCTACTTTCCTCCCTATGCCTTTTCTAGCTGATTTTTCTTTTTCCTTCTTTGTTTTAAAAGACTTTCCTTCCCTCAGCACTGTGCTAGTTAGTGAAGGGGGTAGGAGCTGGTTAGATTATACTAGAAAGAGCAGAAATAATTAGGTTTATAAGAAATAAGACGTCACACAAGAGAGACCATCCCCATCACTCAGAAAAGACTGAGTTGTCGCCTGAGAGCAGCAGCCCTCCCCAGCAGCAACCTGATCTGGCATCCACTGTGACCAGCGACAAAGGACCTGTGTGTGTGCTGAGGTCCTGGAGTGGCCTATAGGGCAGAGTGAATGAGTCCAGGGGAAGAGAAGCCACCACCCTTGCTGGCCTCTCAGCAGGGAGGCAGAGCACTGAGCAAGCCAGAATCCCTCTCTTACCCCGAGAGCTGGTCCCTCCAGGTCAGGGTTGGGACACAGTGGCACGGGGTGGCTGGGGGTGGCTTGCACTGCCGCTGCCCGTGCTGTATCTGTTCTGTGGATAAACAGAGGAGCTAAGTCTCCAGGGCAGTTGCCTCACAAGAACTGAAGGTAGTAAGTTCAAATGAATAATGTTTCTGGGGAGGGAGGGGTTAAAGAAAACCTCAACAAAGGCTTTTTTTTTTTTTTTTTGCTAGTGCTAGGTTTTAATTTTTAAAAAATAAACAAGAGAGAGAGAGAGAGAGAGAGAATAAGAAAAATGGAGAAAACAGTGAAAACAAAATGAGAAAGTCCCATGTGACCATACTTTTGCCTGTGACTTTGATAAACATGCAGAGCCGCTCACTCCCTGCCACCTGGAGGCTAGCAGACACCATGACAACCTGCCCTGACCTTGGGCCCTGTCTACCCACAGGGTTACAAGACCCAGCTGTCCCCAAGCACAGCACTGCAGCAGACAACTCTTCCCTCTCCGTCTCTGGGGAAGGAACTGGAACAAAGCAGGAGAAAAAGCTTCTCACCTGTACCATTTCCTTGACAACTTTGGCCTCCCTCTTACCGTCTTGTGCCACACAACAGGGAAGTTGGTACTGCTGGCAAAGTTCTGGGTGATGGCAATGGTGGTGTCAAGATTGAGAACGACATGCCACCAGCCCCCTGGAATCCAACAAATACATAATTCAGTGAGGGCCGGCCGGCTGCTCCCAATCAAGACTGCGGGCGACCAGGGTCTGACTCCACAAAGGCACGCCCTTACGGTTTCTATGTGTACCACTGCTTTCCTGTTACAGGACAGCGTGACAGACTGCCTGCCTCAAATGTAACCCAATGCGACTACTAAAGTAAAAGCAAAAGTTTGAGCCTTTCTGGAAACTTCATCCATCGAAATGTAGCTCTGGCTGGCTGGGATTTTCCAACTCCACCCAGGCAGTTCCGCACTCTAGCAAAAGCCACAGGACGCAGGCAGAACCCGGAGAAATACTTAGAGACACCGGGTAACAGAGCCCGACACATGCAATGTGGAGATGCACTCCTTTGGACTTAAACCCTGACCCTGTCACCACAGGGAGGGATATGTGTGCTCAACAGATAGGAGGGACTTTTTGTCTTTCTTTTCTTTTCTTTCCCCCGGTTTTTAGAGACAGGGTTTCTCTGGTTTTGGAGCCTGTCCTGGAACTAGCTCTTGTAGACCAGTCTGGCCTGGAACTCACAGAGATCCACCTGCCTCTGCCTCCCAAGTGCTGGGATTAAAGTTGTGTGCACCACCACTGCCCGGCTGACTTTTTGTCTTTCTATAATCCTACACCAAAATAACAACTCAGTGCAATTACAGAACATAATCAGAAGCTGGGAAGAACAGCTTCTAGTTCGTCTATACCTGGTACAAAGACAGTCTCTCCTGGTTTCTGTAATATCTCCAAGGGTTTGAACTCAGGTGGCCAGGTTGGAAGCTGTGTCCGTGGATAAATAACATTGAACCAGGTAATGGCTTCATCTTGTTGGTTTCCCCCTTCTTCTCGGGTCACCTTGATGAGTTCTCGGGGAGTGCTCGTGGGGAACAGACACCAACGCTTGTGGCCCTGAACTAAGGCATTCCAGGCACTGGTTCCCAGAGGGTCAATGTGAATCCCAGTTCCAGACCGTGGTGGCCCCATCACAAACCACCTACAGGATGGAGACATGAAGACATGAAGGGTAATCTGAGTGCACATGACAGCAAAGGCTCTACAATAGCCAACACTGTGCTGTGTTCACTTCAGACTGTACACGCTCTGGTACACAACAAAGTAAATTGTATATGGACTGATGTCTAACAGAGAAAAAGAAAAATCACTGATGTAAATTATTGCTGGACTTTTAAAAAAAAAAAAAAAAAAAAAAAAAAACAGGTTACCTATCAGCTGGTTGTGGTGGCCCAAGCTTTTAATCCCAGCACTCTGGAGGCAGAGGCAGGTGGACCTGTCAATTCAAGGCCAGCCTGGGCTACAGTGAGACTGTTTAAAAAACTCAAACCTAACTGGGCCACACACACACAATGAAAACAAAACAAAACACCCAAATAAATAAAGCTGGGTATTGGAGGCACACGCCTTTAATGCCAGCACTCAGGAGGCAGAGGCAGGAAGATCTCTGTGAGTTGGAGGCCAGCTTGGTCCACAGAGTGGACAAAAAAATCCCCAGACCCACATTATGGAAGAAGTAACTAACACCCACTAGTTGTGTTCTGAACTCCCCATGAGCATGTGGCACATGTGCCCCTCAAATAAACAACATAGCTGGCTGTGGTGTCCAATGTCTTTAATCCCAGCACTCAGGAGGCCGAGGCTGGAGGCAGAAACTCTGAGCATTGAGACCAGGCTGGCGTGGTCCACACAGTGGGTTACTACATATACAGCGAGACCCTGTTTCAAACATTACAGTAAGTCACACTTGTAAAACCATCAACAAAACTTCTTTTATGAAGCAGTGGTCTCACTGTAATTCTACATTTAAATGCTCTCGTGCTGGACTGGACAACGGAAATTCTCAGCACCTCCCAACTATCCATCAACCCAGCTCCGGGGGATCTGGCACCCTCCTCTGACCTCCTCAGGCACTAGGTAGGCATTTACTGGCACATGTACTTGCGTGCAGGGAGGGGGGAAAAACCCGGCTAGATGCCTGGAGAATTTGAGGAATCCAGCCAGATGTCTGGGCGGACCCCAGACCAATGAAATCGGTGAGTGTGCAGGAAAGATCCACTCCCCGCTCTCACAAGGTTAGACCTGCGCTCTGCTAAGCACAGTTTTGAACACCCGATGTGGGATACTGTACCTGTAAGGGGGCCTGCGCTTCTCCCCCGCGTACTGGAAAAGATCATCCGTGAAAAACTTGGGCACCTTGTAGTCCTCCAAAAGTTTCCTTCTTTTGGGGTGTTCACCATAGCTGCTGTCAAAGATGTAAAGGGGGCTGTCATCACGGGTGCTCTCCATGTACTCGATGTAGTATTTCATCTTCATCTTCACCGAGTAGCCGTCGTTATCCTCACCACACTTGAACTTCTGGTTCCGGTATTTCCTTTTGAGGCGCTCCAGAGTCCATTTCTCCTGCGCGGACCAGCCCTCTTGGGCATTGAGCAGAACCACGGGCTTGTAAGGCCTTTCGTACCGCTCGACAAATTCTTCCACCGAAAGCTTCAAAGCGTCAGCCCTCTCCACGTTATCCTGGGGGGGGGGGAAGCAACAAAAGACCCGCCCCGTTAAAACACAGGGAGAGGTCCGGTGGCGGAGGAAGGTGTCGCACGGGGCCAATCAGCAAGCACACACATCATTAGCAAGGACCGAGCCTCTGGCTCCGGGGGGGGGGGGGGGAGGCCCACGTGCGTGAGAGTGAGCACGTCGCACCCGGAGCCACCCCCGGGGCGGAGGGGGCGGGAGGGGGGCGGAGGGGCCCGGAGCCCCCGGTAACGAGCGAGCTCTGGCGGCTGCAGTGTGGGCCGCGCCCCGGGCGCCCCGCTCACCGGCACGGCCGCCGGGCTCAGCGGGAAGCTCTCGTAGTAGTTGTGCCGGGTCCAGTCGAGCGAGTCCTTGAGCTCGGGCCGCGCACTCCGCTTGGCCTCGCGGATGCGCTTCTTGCTCTTGTGGTTCATGCCGAGCAGGTCACCGTCCGGCCCCGCCACGACCTCGACGCAGCTCGCTCCCTGCCCGCCGACAAACGCGCCCCCTCGGCCCGGCGCGGCTCCGGAACGCCCTTCGCTCGGGCAAGGCGCCTTTAAAGTCGCCTTCCCGAAGATCCACGCCCCTGCCACCCCCGGGGCTTCGGGTTGGGCGAGCGGCGGCCGTCCTCCCCGCCCCACCGCCTCCTCCGCGCCGCCATTGGCCTCAGCGACTTGCGAGACCCGCCCTCACGCGCGCCGATTGGGCGCCATGTTGGGAAGGTCGGCTCGCTGACGTCCTGCCCTCCCGGCGGCGGCCTGCACCACTTCCGGCTGCGCGTCGCAGCTCAGCGGTCCGCTTCCGGCCGAGCCCGCTGCCGCTGCGCTTTCCGCGTTCCGTTTGGACAGCGTCCAGCGGGCTCGTCCGGACTGGCCGCCACGTGGCACGGCCCCACCGGCCCGGCGCCCCTGCACGCGTAGCGCCCTCCGCCGCCCCCTGGCCCGACTCCCCTCCGCGCGAGCGCGGCCTCATGGCCGGGGCTCAGCTCTTTCGGTTCCGGGAGAAGCCAGGCCCTGGGACGCACGGGGCCGTGCTGGAGGTCCGCATCCCGCAGGTGCGTGCAGTGGCACCCACGTGGAAGAGCTCCCTGTGGAGTGGAGGGAGTGGGCGATCCCTCAGTTCTGCACTCCGTTCTTTAGCAGCAGGTTTGGTATGAAGCCCGGCGAGGGGTTAAACGTGCACCACTGAGGGACCGTGCCAGGCCTGTGATGCTAGCTCTGAACTTTTTTGAAAAGCATGTTTTTTTTTTTTTTTTTTTTCTTTCCAAGACAGGGTTTCTCTGTATAGCCTTGGCTGTCCCGGCACTCGCTTTGTAAACCAGGCTGGCTTCTCTGCCTCCCGAGTGCTGAGATTAAAGGCGTGCGCCACCACGCCCGGCTAATACAGCTTTTTGTCGTTTCTGTGTGGAGCTTTGTAGATCATCCTGCCTCTGCCTCCGGAGTGCTGGAATTAAAGGCTTGCGCCACCGTCCGGCTAATTTATCTTAACCCTCCTCCCCCCCACCCTCCACTTGCGCCTCTGAGTATTCTTAATTGCACCCAGCCTCTACTTAGCTAAGCGCTCCACCACTGAGCGATGTCCCTAACACAACTTGTTTTATTTTTGAGCCCTCCCTATGATTGCAGGTGTGCGCTACCGTGCGCTACCTTGTGTGCGATTCTGGGGACTTCATACATGCTCGGCAAAAGCTGTGCCATTGAGTTCGTCCTCAACCCCAGAATTCTCATTTGTTTTGTTTTGGGACCAGGGAGTCAAGTCTGCAGCACCCCCAATAAAACTGTCTGCATCGGCCGTGGCTTGTTCCTCTGAGTTTATAGCTACCATAACACTGGATAACTATCCAGTCAGTCGGTTTTACAAAGGATTTTCAGGTTGTAATGTCAGTTGATGGCTCAGTAGATGTCCTTGACAGTAGTGCTAGAAGCAGAAGGTGCGATCCTGGGCTGCCACCTGTAGCATTCTGCAGTCTTTTTTTTTTTTTTTTTTGAGACAGGGTTTCTCTGGCTTTGGAGCCTGTCCTGGAACTAGCTCTTGTAGACCAGGCTGGCCTCGAACTCACAGAGATCCACCTGCTTCTGCCTCCCGAGTGCTGGGATCAAAGGCCTGTGCCATCAACGCCCAGCTCAGTTTGCATTCTTTGCAGACTTCAGCCCACGTGAAGCAAAGATTATTTTGTTTTTGGTGTGTTGAGATGGTTTCTCTGTGTAGCCCTGGCTGTAGAACAGGCTGCCTGCCTCTGCTTTCTGAGTGCTGGGATTACTGCGGGATAAAAGCTGCCAGCAGCCTCCTCCAGGAAAGCAGAGGTTCTTGACTATATACTACAGGACAAAAACTTTAGGGAAATCAACATGAAGCAGAGTGGGAGGATAGTAACATCATAACCTGGATTTAAGTTTGGGGGGGGGGGTTAATAGACATTTTGGAAAAGAACACAGAAGGTGTGGATACAGGCTCTGCAAGCTCAGGAAACTGCATTTAGCTTTTCTTTTTATAAATAAGATTGCATAGTGGCCGCTGGAGAGATGGCTCAGTGGTTAAGAGCATGGGCAGCTCCTCCAGAGGTCCTGAGTTCAATTCACAGCAACTACATGGGCTCTCACAACCATGTATAATGGGATCTGATGCCCTCTTCTGACGTAAAGGTGTACATGCAGATAGAACACACAAATCTTTGTAAAAAAAAAAGTCACAGGGTAAGATTAGTGAGGTATATTGGACTGGAAGGATTACAGTGATGTCATGCTACAAAGGAATCTTTGATTATACTGGGTCCCATGCTTATAATCTTGTTTGTGAGATTCTCAGGAAGTTGCAGACTCCAGCTGGAAAAGCTGTGAGGTTCCAGTTCCTCTTTATATTAATTATTTCAAATTCTTTTAATTATTTTAAGTTTCTTTTAGTCTCATTCTACTTGTGGTTGTCCTGGAACTGACTAGTTTGATGTTGAACTGACATAACTTTACCTGCCTCTGATTCCTGAGTGCTGGGATCAAAGGTGTGCATCACCACACCCTGCTGATTCTTTATTATTTTAACATTTGGGTTGGAAATACTTCTATAAAGAACTTTGTCCCTCTGTAGACAAACTTCACAGTGAATCTTGTTAGTTGTACTGGAATTTGACCCTTACCTGGTGAGACTTGAAGTAGACTCTGGGATAAGTAGATATTTATGCCTTAGTAGGTCCGTGTTAAAAAAAAAAAAAAAACAAAAAACAAAAAACAAAAACGTTAAAAAGATGCAAGCCAAAACAGAACTTGTTTCCTATAGCCACCAAGTGACTTCATGTAAAAATTTATTTTGAGTCAGGTTATTATGCTGAGGCACTGGTTTTTTGTTGTTGTTGTTGATGATTTTGTTGTTTTTGGAGACAGGGTTTCTCTGTATTGCTTTGGAGCCATGATAATTTTTTTTTGAGACAAGATTTCACTATGTAGCTTTGGCTGGCCTGGAACTACCAGAGATCTGCTCACGTCTGTGTTTCAAGTGGATTAAAGCCAGGGCCCACTATTCCCTGCTTCATTTTTATTTATTTATTTTTTAAGATTTATCTTTTGCTGGGCATGGTAGTTCATGCCCTTAATCCCTCTTTTAATCCCAACATTTGAGAAGCAGAGGCAAGAGGATCACTGGGAGTTTGAGGCCATCATATAATCTGCATAGCTAATTCCAGGACCTCCAGGGATACAACTGATTTTGTCTTAAAAAACAAAGAGCAGGAAGCATTCTGAACTGCTAAATCATCTCTAGCACCTATTTCCCCCTGTAACTCCATTTAAATAATCTATATGTGTGTGCATATGTATATTTGTGTATGTATTTTTTTATGTGTATTGGTGTTTTGATTGCATGTATGTCTGTGTGAGACTATCAGATCTTGAAGTTACAGTTAGCTGCCATGTGGGTGCTGGGAACTGAACCCTGGTTTTCTGGAAAAACAAAACAAAGCTATCTTTCCAACCAACCCCTATTTATTATTATTGTTATTTTGACGTAGGCTCTTTGTTTGGGGGGTCTTCCTGTCCAGTGTTGGGAGTGTAGTGTCCAATCACAACCATCTGTGCACTGTTGTTGAGTGGACTGAATGTTTGGACCTCTGGTTCTTTATAGCTTTGACCATTTTTTCCTTTATCACCCTTTGGGGTCACCCTTGTTGATTTGTTGCTAATATGCAGTGCTTTGTGCCTGGCATTGAATAGTGTTACCCTATGGAGACATCTGCCATTGAGGTTGAAACCCTGACAAGTAGGTTGTGTAAAATCTATACACTGGACCTGGAGTTTGAGTCTGGGGTGGGGTGTTTCCAGGTGAGGGAGGCTTACTGCAGATGCACACTCTTTCCATAACATTCCCCAGACTCTAGTTTGCTTTTGGAGTTTTAATTTTTTTTTTTTTAAACAGCATCTCAGAAGTCTAGCCCTGCCTGGCTGGCTTTTGATTTGCTATGTAAATCAGGTTGGCCTTGAATTTAAAATGTTTCTCCTTCCTAGTGTGTGATAGCATTACAACTGGGAACAACATCCTAAATGATTCTAGATCTTTCTAAAGGTTTCCTTTGGTCTTTCAGGGTTCAGTTCCATATATGCCTCCTTTTGTGGGATATCTACCTAGGACTGCAGGGTTTGTTATTAGCATTCATTAAAAATCTCCCAAAAAATAGGTTTGAAAAATAGGGACATAGCTTAGTTGGTAGAGTGATTGTCTAACAGGGTGCACTGGCATACATCTGCAATGGCAGAAATTCACAGGCCAGGTGGTGGTGACACATGCATTTAATTTTAACCCCAGCACTCTGGAGGTAGAGGCAGGCAGATATGTCTATAGAGTCATGAGTTCCAGGATAGGCTCCAAAAGCTACACACAGAAAGTTAGAAGCTTGTGGTCATCCTAGGCTATGCAGTGAGTTGGAGACCAGCTTAAACTACACAAAGCACTGCCTTAAAAAAACCAAAAATAAGGCTGAAGAGATGGCTTAGGTAAAAACACTTGCCTCCAAACTAGACAGCCTGACCTGGATTCCATACCTAGATCCCTCATAACGGAGGGGGACAAGTGACTCTTACAGTTGTCCCCTGACCTCCATGTGCCGCCTTCCTCCAACAAAGTAAATTTAAAAGTTTAAAAAATCTATTTTTAGAAAGAAACCTTCCAACATCTTGATCTACTTAGAATTCTAAATTTCTGTGGCCCATAAGACACACGGGTTAATAACCCCCACTCTGCCGCTCACAGCTGTACCTATGGTCAGAGCAGAGGCCCTGGTCTGAGCAACCCTACCTGTCTCCACCTGTTATTACACACTCACTTCATCCTGCTTTACTGTTGTAGCATTTATTACACAAAATTACCTTTTGCCCATCATTGTCCAATACATGTACTGTAGCATGTAAAGTGTACACTGCAGTCCAAATTTTTAAAAAAGATTATGTATGTACATATAGTGTTGTGTGTGCAGGCCAGAAGTGGCACCAGTTCTCATCATAGATGGTTGTGAGTCACCATGTGGTTGCTGAGAATTGAACTCAGGACCTGTGATAGAGCAGTCAGTGCTCTTAACCTCTGAACCATCCATCTCTCCAGTCCCTGGTTCTCAGTTTAAATGCTTGTGGAGGGGCTGGAGATGACTCAGTGGTTAAGAGCACTCGCTGCTCTTACAGAGGACCTAGGTTTGTGTCCTAGCATCCATGTGGCTCAATCATGTTTAACTCTGGTTCCAGGGGACCCAACACTCTCTTCTGGTTTCTGAGGCACCAGACATGCACACAAAACACTCACACACATACTCGAGGGGCTAGCACTGCCAGCCACAAAGGAGGCTGAGGCAGGATTGCAGCCAGCTGGTATACAAAGGAAGAAATAAAGCATCATGGTGTCAGACCTGTAGGTCAAGGACTGGAGAACAGAACCATCTAATAATGGATGTCAGTGACTGACAGTACATAAAGGTAGGTATTCACTTCAATATTTTCTTTTTAGGTCCTGCATGTCCAATATGGGATGTATGTTTGGCCCTGTGCTGTAGTACTGGCCCAATACCTGTGGTTTCACAGAAGAGCTCTGCCAGGGAAAGCTATCTTAGAGGTAACAGGAGCCCCTTAAACTTCCAGAATGCTGGTCTATCTATATTCCCGTCTTCATGCTGTTGGTCTTTAACTTGCTTTTTTAGAAGTGGCAATGTGGTACACAGCTTTAATTCCAGCACTCAGCCAAGTAGAGGCAGTCAAGAGTGAAGATAGCCTCATCTACATAACAAATTCCAAGGTAGCAAAAGGGATACAGAGAAACCCTTTCTGAAAATAGGTGATTCCAGAATCTGGGTACTCTTCACAACAGTGGCACAACTGGTGTGTAATCCACCTGTCCTGGTGCAGTTAGGTGCTTGTTACAGATCGCTAATACCGGTAACCATGGTAGGTGGCATCTCATCTGAGCAAGGGTCAACTGTTTTGAGATAGTGGAAGCAACATCCTTTAATGAAGGATGCATGCACTGCCACTTTTAGCAAGTTAACCATGAATCCGAAGTTCAAAATTCAGACTGCTGGTTGCTAGACCAGCCTTTAGTCCTAACCCTTCCAATAGGGAACAGGGAGATCTAATTAATTTCAAAGGCAGCCAGGGAACACAAACTATCAACTGGGGTAAAAGGATAAATCATTCTAAAATATCATTTCCATTTAGATTGGAGCTGGAGTGAGCCTTCCAGGGATTTTGGCTGCCAAATGTGGTGCTAAAGTAATACTATCTGACAGCTCAGAGCTGCCTCACTGTCTGGACATCTGCAGGCAAAGCTGCCAACTGAATAACCTGTCACAAGTACAAGTTTTAGGGCTGACATGGGGCCATATTACAAAGGACCTACTATCTTTGCCACCACAAGACATCATTCTTGCATCTGATGTGTTCTTCGAACCAGAAGGTAAATTTAATCTGCAAGAAATTAGCAGGTTGTATTGCATAAAACTCACTAAGAAGTCTTTCTCCCCTCAGACTTTGAAAGCATCTTAGCCACAGTGTACTTCCTGATGCAGAGGAACCCCAAAGTTCAGTTTTGGTCTACCTACCAGGTGAGAAGGTGAGTATGGACAATTTCAGTTTACTAGCTTTTTCAATGTAATGAAAATGTGCTAAGGAAAACAAAGCATGAGCCATGAAAACATGTTAT